ACTGACTCAAGAGATGAGCCTGGGAAGCTCAATGAGCCCCTGTATCAAAGAGAAATAAAAAGGGCTGGGGATGCCAGGTGCAGTGGTGCATGCCTGTAATCCCAGTGGCTTGGGAGGCTGAGACAGGAGGATCACAGGTTCAAAGCCAGCTTCAGCAATGGTGAGGCTCTAAGCAACTTAGTGAGACCCCATCTCTAAATAAAATACAAAATAGGGCCAGGGATATGGCTCAGTGATTGAGGGCCCGAGTTCAATCCTGAGTACCCCCCCCAAAAAAAGAGGAGGCTGAATTTATGATTTTAAAATGGTTTAAGCAGAACTTCCAGGAGAACACACACTTCTCTGGTCATCACGTTTCCCTTATTCAAAACAAAAACATTTTGAGCTTCTAAAGCTAGAAAACAGAAAAGAATTTTCAGGATAAGGAAGAATAAATGAACCAGAAAGAACCCACTGGTTATACTGGATTGTGCCCCAACATACAGAACTTTAAAAATTCCATTTCCAGCACTTCGAAAATTACCATATACTCCCTTGACCCCCATTCCAAGCTAGCTTCCCATTTAGTATTTTAAGTGTCAATTATTCCACTGAAATCACTTTATCCATGCTTACCTTGCAGGACAGAATGTTCCCAAAGGCAGAGAAAGTATCATAAAGTGCCTTGTTATCTATAGATTTGTCCAAATTCTTGATGAAGACGTTTCCCACACCAGATTTTCTCAAAGAGGGATCCCTCTGAGACCACATGATCCGGATTGGCTTTCCCTTAATCACATCAAAGTTCATGGTGTCCAAGGCCCGCTCAGCTAAAATAGAGAAACACATTTTAATCAAGGATGTAAAACATCAACTCTGGTGACTGCCATAAGATTACAAGAACAGATTACACCAATGTTTTTCTAGGTAATCACGGACAAAAGTCAACCCTGCTGAAACAGCCTTCAAAGCCACCAAGATCAGATACAACCTCACTTTTGACTAAGCTTTATCATTTAGAGAGACTTTGCAGCCTATGTCCACAGTGACTCAGGTAGGATGATTGTAATTATCATGATTGAACCCAGGGTCTGGTGCACGGCAGGCAAGTGTTCTGCAGGATGGCTAAGTTGTGCAGCTAACTATATATAGTATTTAAGAAATTATCATTTTCAGATACCATCCCTGAATTCAGTCCAGCTGCTTTAGTGTACTTGAAATTAAATCCAGGGCTTTCCCCATGGTAGGCAAGCATTCTAACACTGAGCTACATTCCTGGTCCTTTTTAAAATAGCTGGGATTACAGGTGTGCGCCACTGTGTCTGGTATCAGCCCAGTTTCTTAAGAGTTTCAATTTCAGGAGGGCCTATACTCGATGGGGTCTAGGCCTTTGGAAGCATTAATCTAAGTTGTATGGATTCTAGGAATTCAACTGCCCTGGTGACCGCATTCTCCATGCACTTCCTTAGCTTCCAAATCAAGATCATGTAAAGGACCAAAGGCTATATATATATGTGCATGTTTATGTACAGGTAACCCATCACCTGAATGCCAGAACACTTCCTTTCCTTCATTGGTGGCAACTTGTCCTTGTTATCTCAGTGACTGCACTAAATAAATGACATCACCCAGAACCCCTTCCACAAAGGAATTAAAGGAGTGCAGGAAATTATTCCTTGCCTCAAAGTATTTCATTTAAAAAGGGGACAAAACTCCAACTCTGCCCCTCTACAGGTTCATCTATCCAATCAACAAAAAGGAATCTTTTCACTCATTTCCAACAATTTTCCACCTTCCTCAGAAGGTGCGCACATTTGTATGGGGGATGACTGGGGAAGGGGAGACAACAGTACAGATCCAAGCCAGAAAAGTCCAGGTACAGACAAGTTTGCTTGGGTGGCCACCTGATAAATTCAGCATGGGACCTCAAACTACTTTGTTAATTAGCAGTAAAGGAACTCATTCCAACACAGGTCCTGGTCTATTTCCAGACAGTACTGCATAGGGCAAGTCTGGCTAAGTCTGACAAATTTGGCTACACTTATTTATAGCATGGAGAAGTCCTACAGAGGTATGTGTTGGCAGACACACTGACCAATGGCTTCTGCTATCTCCAAGTGACAGGACTTTTATTCAGAAGAGCCAAGGAGGCAGGCAACAGCTATCTTACCCAATACCCCACCTCAGAAGTCACATTCAGCTACCTCCTTTGTGTTCAAAGACATAACACAGCTCAGAGTACACTGGATTGATAGTAAGCAGCAATATTTTGTCAACTAGTCCAATTCTCTGTTCTCAGCTATAAGCTGGGCAAGTAACATTCTCTGCATCATGGACAGTGAACAAAGTAGGGACAAAAATAACAGGGACCTGAAGATCCTTTGACACAAAATTGCTTGTTTCTCCCAGTAATGGTCTCTGCAGTTGTTCCCTTTTAATCTGGAGTCACGTGCAGCCTCTGATTAAATTTCTTCTGGGCTCACTTGTGCCACGCCTGCAGCATACCTCTCCACTGCTGAGACAATCTGGGTGGCAGAACTCTGCACTGGGAGTCCCAACCTGAACTTTTTTGCAGTTCCTTTTCCTTCCCTGGAGTCTTATTTTCTTCAGATGAGATGAAGTAAAAAGATTCTGAAAAGAGTAAGGAGCTGGCCCAGCACAAGTAGTGCTGGTGGCACCAACTTAAGCTCCTTGAGGCTAATGTACAAGATTGTTTCCTTTGCTTCCTACTTGCCCCAAGCCATCCCTTATCAGCACAAAATCAAGTTAAAGGTGGGAGGGGCTAGCAGTGTTGCAATCTGAAACTTCTGCAGGGCACTATTTTTTAATAGGCCTGTGTTTGAGGGGCACGTGCCCATGACCACTGGCCAGGCCAGGGAGGTTCTGCAACCGCTCAACCTAACTTGGACAGAACCAGACATACGGGAATAACAAAAATCACTTCATTCAGATACGGATTTACAGCTTCCTAGCATTCCCGACCACCACCATTACCACCATTAGTCAAGGTCATCTAGTTGGCAAGTGGTGGAATCAAGACAAACTCTGGCTGTGGAAACAAGCCAAGCTATGTGCTCAATACCTGCATCCTGCTTCCCACTATGGCTTCTGTGGCAATATGCTGTCCTGCTGCCCCCTCCCTGGCAAGAGGGCCCTCCTTAGGAGATGACCCTTAATGTCCCCCGAGAGCCTACGAACGTGTAGGCACGACTTCTACTCACCGTCGGCTGGCTGCTGGAAGTTGACGTAGGCATAACCCAGCGAGCGGCGGGTGATCATATCGCGGCAGACCCGGATGGACAGCACAGGCCCGGCAGGACTGAACTTTTCGTACAGCATGGCCTCGGTGACGTCCGAGTGCAGGTCGCCCACGTACAGGGAGGCCATGGGGTAGCTGCTGGCGGCAGCGTTCATCTCCCCGCCCCCCACCACCCCGAGCCCCGCCAGGAGGACTTCTTACGGGGCCCACCGCAGGACAAAAGGGGCTTCTCTCGGAGCCGTGGCCCACGCCGCGGCTCACAGGTGGCACAGAGCGAGGCTGGGAAGAAGCTGCAGCAGGGAGGCTCAGAGGCAGGACGAGAGAGTTCGGGCAGCTCACACGGGACCGCAAAACCTCAGACAAAGGCTCTCAAAAACAATATGGCCCTCTCCGGGAGTTTGTAGTTTCCAGCTGTCCTGGCTCGAAGCTCCAAATTCCAAAAATTAAGAGGAATAAAAGCGGGGAATCCCCTTCCTTGGGGTCAAAAATTCTTCAAGAGGCAACCAGATGCTACCCACGGCGGCCTTGGGGACACGCGTTTCTCGATAAATATAGGCCCCGGGCTCCCGGAGGTTTAAGATTACAACAGCCAGGGAAGAGGGAAACTAAATCTTTGCGGGTGCCGACTCGGCCAGCCCCGGGCGGGAGGCGGCGGCGA